CAATCACTGAGCTGTGATTGTAATACTTCCTAAAAAGTTACTGAAAAAAAATCTAATTTAGCAAAAACTAATATCTAGTAACATATTATCTTAATGAACTGTTTCTGAAACTTTTCATTACTAATACCCCAATTTTTATGATATAATAATAAAGTCATTTTTATGATATAATAATAAATATTATTTCATTGAGTTAGGGTTAAGCAAGAATACAGTATATTTACTATTTATTTTTAATAATCACATTGTAATGTGCATATTAAGCAAAACAATGAGAGAACTTCACAACTTTATGAAATAAAACTATTTCCTTAGAAATAAAAATGAAATTTAAAACTATATTTTTAATGGCAAGAACAAGCTTACTTACTTTTGCATAAATCCTTCAATTTGAATTTAAATTTTTGAGGCAGCCATATTCATATACTACTTATGACAGCTTTAGCCATTTCACTTGCATTAATAGCCTCAATACACAAAATACATTACATTTTAGTCAAAGCAAATTATAAACTTTATCAACATTTTTGACAGCAATGGGTTTTAGAGGATAAATGTTCTGTAAAATAGATAGCTGTGTACAGAAATGTCAGAAAGTAACATTCTATTATACCAATAATACCTTATGGAATAGAATATTGTTGGCATTTCAAAAAACTTTTGTGCCTCTGCTAATAGAAGGGAAGAAGGAAACAAAAATCAATTTGTAAGTTTAGCAGTATTCAAAAGTCTGTACTCAACTGCCTTGCCTAGGGCATTTTTGTGACTCCACACAAGAGGATCTAGGTTTCATAACCGCTTCCTTAATGTGTTAAGTATTATATCATTGCAGTTTCTAGTAGAGAACACTGAAAACATGTATTATTAGAACTTTCACTACCAATCTACAATCCCAAATTGGTAAAAGCTTCTTGAGCTTCTTGACCATTACACTTACAAAGAATATACTGTATCAAATACTGCCGCTCACCAGATTTTGCTAATTTATTTTGTCAATCTTTAATTACACTGTTAATCACTTTATTCACTTAGTTTATAACTATATAAGTGAATAGACGCCACACAGACACACAGATCAAAATAAAATTTAATTCATTTGGTGCACTTGATTTTTCTATCTAACAATTATGCTATAATCAACATCATTTACTTTACAATTTAAACCCAATATTTTACACTGGTTTTGTCATAATACTCCGACACTGCAAGTCCTCCAAAAGCCCTAATGGTTTCTTGCTCATTTTCCAGATGTGTATCTTATACAGTGACAATCACCTCATGGTTTATTCAAATATTTAGAATAGAATAGAACAGAACAGAACAGAACAGAATAGAATAGAATAGAATAGAATAGAATAGAGCTGGAAGGGACCTTGTAGGTCTTCTAGTCAAGCCCCCTGCTCAAGCAGGAGAACCTATATCATTTCAGACAAGTGACAGTCTAGTCTTTTCCTAAAACCTCCAGTGATGGAGCACACACGATTTCTGGACGCAAGCTATTCCACTGGTTGATTGTCCTCACTGTCAGGAAGTTTCTCCTTAATTACAGGTTGCTTCTCTCTTTGGTCAGTTTCCAACCATTGTTTCTTGCCCTGCCCTCTGGTACTTTGGAGAATAACGTGACCCCATCTTCTTTGTGACAGCCCCTCAATTACTTGAATACTGCTATCATGTCACCCCTGTTTCTTCTTTTCTTTAGACTAGCCATACCCAAGTCCTGCAGCCATTCATACAGTATGTTTTAGTCTCCAGGTCTTTGAAAATTTTAGTTGCTCTTCTCTGATTTTTTTCCAAACTCTCAACATCTTTTTTGTAGTATGGTGACCAAAACTGGTTGCAGTATTCCAGGAGTGGTCTGACTAGGGTTTTATAAAGTGGTACTAATACCTCACGTGATCTTGTTCTATACCTCTGTTTATACAACACAGGATTGTATTAGCTTTTTTGGTGGCTGCTGCATACTGCTGGCTCATACTCAAGTGATTGTCCATTAGGACTCCAAGGTCCCTCTCACAGCTACTTTTTTTAAGCCAGGTTTCGCCTAATTTGTACTTATACCTTATACTTTTCCTGCCTAAAACTTTGCTTTTCTCCACATTAAAATTCATTTTGTTGGATAGGGCCCATTGTTCAAGTTTGTCAAGATCTTTTTGGATCCTGAGCTTGTTTGTTTGTCTTTTTATTTAATTAATTTTTATGCTACCCACCCAGAATACTTGCAAAATAGAATTTTTAAACAGCTGAAGAATGCAAATAATAACATCAAGGCATTTTAGCTTTTTCACAGCAATTGAAGAATTATTGTAAGAATGTAATTTTATTCCAGTTATATAATGGTCCTTATTATTTTTATCAGATAAATATGTTTCAGGTGCAGCTATCGTGGTGCCCTTTCAACAACTATCCAGTTTTTCTTTACTATCTTTAATTGATATCTGAGAAATACATTGAGCTGGAAACTTAATCTAACTGGAAATACTTGTTTGATTGTAACCTCTTCCAAATTCAGCATTAAATCTATTAACTAGAACCCCTAACAACTTCCTCTCACAGTGCCTGGAGGCTTTTAGGGTCTGGATGGGGAGCAACAGGTTGAAACTGAACCTTTGCAAGATAGAGTGGCTCTGGGTTTGGGGTTCTTTGGTCCATGGAGAATTGCCACCTTTGGTCTTGGATGGGGTAACACTACCCAAACAAACCCAGTGTGTAAACGGGGTTCTCCTGAACTCACAATTCCTGCTCAAAGAGTAGGTGGCAGTTGTGGCCAGGAGGGCCTTTGCACAACTGCGGGTTGTGCACCAGGTATGCCCTTTCCTGGACCAACAATCCCTACTCATAGTCACTCATGCCCTAGTCACTCCTGTCTTGATTATTGCAACGCGCTCTACATGGGGCAGCCCTTGAAAGGATCCGGAAGCTCCAGTTGGTGCAACATGGTTTTCTGCAGACCTCGGAGTTCACATGTATCACCTCTCCTGCTAAAGCTGCATTGGTTGCCGATTTGCTTCTGAGTGTAGCTCAAGGTGCTAGTTGTCACCTTCAAAGCCTTTCATGGCTTGGGACCAGGTTATCTGAGGGACCATCTCTTGCTGGTCCGATCCACCTGACCCGCTAGAGTGGGGAGGCAAGGAATGTTGCAGGTCCCATTCCCTAAGGAGATACATCTGGCGGGACCCAGAAAAAGGGCCTCCTCCATGATGGCTTCCTCTGGAGCATCATCCCTCTGGAAATTAGACTGGCCCCCACTCTTTTGGATGGCCATGAAGACATGGTTCTGCCAGGGGGCCTGGGGAGCCCAGAGTGGGATTGAGCCCATTAAATGGCTAGTATGAGTGTGTGTTGTCGCCAGGAGGGTGGGGTGGAAGGTTATTATTTTATTATTTTTAATTTTTATTATTTGTATTTCTTTTATATTGTGTTTTTATCCCTGGTAAGCTGCCTTGAGTCACCATGAGTGAGTAGGCAGCAATATAATTTTTTTTTTACTTCCTTTCCAGCAAAAGAAAAAAAAGGAAAAAAAAACAAACCACCAGCATTTGTACCACAAACCCATATACAACGTAGAAGGAAGTAGAAGGAAGAAAAGGAAAAAATTATTAGCCCCAAATATGAGATAAGAGATTTAGAAATTGGGATCATTTAAAATCTGGAAATGACAAAGATTAAACTTAAATATCAATGGGAAATTAAAGTGAAGAAAAACTTACTAGGTTATTGTCTAAAAGATGGAATGTCAAATTAATTAAGATATGTATAGACTGAAGATTATTGATGAATACTAGAAAGGTATTTTTTGTTTGATTGATAGAATAAGAAATGTATTGGTTCGAATATGACAGCAGATATTATGGGGGAAAGAGGGAATTAGGTGTTGTAATACTTTGAGACTTGTACTGATGATATTCAAATGTAATGGAATTACTGTGCTCAGCTGCCATGCTACTTTTCAAATATGTAAATGTAATATTGGAAAATTAATAAAAAAAACTTGGAAAAAAATTAATATTTTTTTAAAAAAACTAAAAATTCAGATACTTTGTTTAAATAATTTATTAGTGTTTTATTGCATTTTTATACTTTATTGTTTTTCATTTTAATATATGTTAATGCATATGTTAACATTTGCTTTAACATTTGTTATTTGTCATGATGATGATGATGATAATGATGATGATGATTGTTATACACCAACTCTTTTTCTAAGAAATGCAGTGTCAGGAAAAAAATAGACAAATGATATGCTTCATATAGTACACAAATGACCCATAGGGAATCCCATATTAAAACAACATATCTTATGTGTGGCCAGAATCTGAAAACAACATTTAATATGGCACAGTACTTGAGTAAAATGGTTCAGTTAAAATTGGCACATGTGGGACTGATTGGGGTAGTTTGTAAGGGTTATACTAAAATATAATCTTAAATTTAGATTAGATAAAGGCTAATCAATAAACAACTAAATTAACAAATGATACAACATTATTAGAATAAATGTTACTTCCATTTATACAATAAAAGAAGTTTTTTTTCTTACTAAATTCTTATTACTCATCACCAGAGCACAGTACTATGGACAGTTCCCTGCAGTAGTTAAATCAGGCTAGAGAAAAGGCATGTATATACATAGTAAAGACAGTATTCAGTTTAATTTCAGAAATTTATGTCACCAACTATTATATGTCCATAGCAAGATTTATCTCTGTCTGTCTGTCTGTCTGTCTATCTATCTATCTATCTATCTATCTATCTATCTATCTATCTATCTATCTATCTATCTATCTATCTTTTTGCAGTGTGTTTGCTTTTAATTAAAAATCAGCCTTTTAAATTCTTGATCATTGAACAAAAATGAGCCTGTATTTGACTATTCCTTAACAGGGATTGTATGTCCGTATGTATGCAAGGTCTTCAAACATGTGCATTTTTTATTCATGTGCTAATTGTTCAGGTCCTTGGGGGAGGGGAAGGCATAAAGCAGCAGAGCACTGTATTTCCTGATTAATGCTGTTGTGTGCTGAGACACACAGGACTCAGAAGAGAGCGGTTAGGCTTCTCCAGTCCCAGCTGAGAATATGGTTCCATTATCTCCCAGCTGCATATACCATCCATAAGGGCCTGTTCTGCCTGGTTGATCAGGGAAGAGGAAGCAGTGGCTGAGATCTTTGATTTGCTGTAACATGTCAAAGAGAAACTGGGACATTGTACTTTAGAGTTCTGTAAGTACCAGTTTTTTTCTTTGGAACTGGATGAGAATGTGATTTTGCCTGTTAACGTTTAATTTATTCCTCCACCAGACTTTGTGTAATTTAACAGGCAAGATGGAAGGTAATCTGTTTACAAACTAATTTCCTTTGCCTGTATAGATTTGAAACAATTGATTCATGGAAGCAGATAAGTTAAAATTCATTTTTAAAATGGATTTGTATGTGTATATGAGAGAGAAAGTTTTACAGAATTACATTATTTTGTGTTTTACTTTATAACTTGGTTTGGATGTTTCCCACTCCAAACATCTGGGTGGTCTTTTTTTTTCTCTGTTATTTATAAAATAAGAAGGAAGTGACTTTTTTAAAAAAACACCACCACCTATTTCTGCAAATAGAAGAATCAGAAAGCCTTTGGCATGAACTGTAAATAGTCTGTAACTCCCCTAAATTATTATTAAACCTATTTCAATTTGAGGGTGGCAAAACATTGATAAACTTAATTGTTTTGATCAATACAGTCTACAGCTAAATGTTAGAATGGTTATTGCATATATGTGTGTGTGTGCTAGAGTGTGTTCCATTTGTATAGCTGGAAAATATTTTACTGTTCAAAACTATGTTTGTTGTGTTTATTTCCATGAATTTTATAGCTAATTGTAATAGGAGTATAAATGTTCTAAGACAATAGTCAAAATAGCAGTGAAGCAGTGTAGCATGACTCTTATGTTTCATCTACAATTTGCAGTACATTTTAGCAGTCCAGGTGACTAGCTGATTTTGTCTTTTAAGCGTGTCTCCTGTATTTCCTTAGTTTTTCCTCTGTTTCTCAATGGTAATTGACCCTAAACTATATGGTCTACTTATGTACTCTGTTCCAGTGCCAGAACTCAATTTGGTGAATAGAGTTCTAATCTAAGCCATCCTTGTTGAAAACCCACCATTTCAACTAAAGAAGATGAATGAAACCATGTGGTGTCTTTTTCTGCCTTTCTTGAATAGGCAGTAAGTTTTAAAGAGAGCAAAACCACAGGCTGTGAAGTATGAAAGTGCCGTACTGCTGAGGATAAGAGTATGTTCTCATTAGGTTTGGTTGATGTGAATTGTGTGTGTGAGAGAGGAGAATGCTGTAATAGATAGTTAACAATAGTTGTAAAGAAAACATTCTTTTAGCCTTGGGGTCTTGGGAGTAAAATAAAGGATTTGTAAGTGGAAGAAATGACTCACAATGAGTACAGTTTCTCTCTCTTTGCTTTCAAGTTATTGTGGCTTCCAGGTTTATATTGATGTTTCAGTTTAGACTTCTGTCTTCATGGAAAGTGCTGGTCTGAATTAAGTTTGGGAAATTTATAGAAAGATACTCACTGAGTTTTCTCTTTTTAGCAAGTATGTGTGTGTATGTACATACACTTATGAGAAAAAAAAGTGTAGTCCTGATTCTAGAAAAATTAAATCTGCCTGTTTTGCAAAAAGGCATATGAATATTTGAGTATTTTACCACTGTTTGTTTTTGTTTAAGTTTATAACAAATTCTGATTTGTTATGTTTGTTATATAAAAGTTATAATTTAAACTAACATATCTGACTGGCTATCCCATATGTGTCTATTTAGGAATAAATCCATCAGATTTAATAATGGAAATTGTCATTAGTAAACATGCATGTATAGTTCCTATGTTACTTTACTACCTTTCCCAAATCTGATTCCCCCTTTTTACCAATATCAGTAGTTTTCTGGTTATAAAGTAGTGGCGAATATCTGTTGCTAGATCCATACGTTTCATGATGGTTTCTGTGGACATGGAGTGTTGTGTGGTGGAGGTACCTTTGTGATTTTTTTTCTGGTTATATGGATGAAAAAATGTACTGTCTGTGGGTGGGAATACTGCTAATGGTGACAAAAGCCGATAGAATGCTTAGAGAATACAAACAAAACTAATGACTTTTCAAAGCTTGTTTAAGCGTAATTTTTTTTAATGAAAGACTGACGCTGCTAGGGCTTTCAATGCATTTAGCCCAGTGACCTTAAAAACTTTACATGGCTTTCTAATTGCTTGGAACAATTTGAAGATCTATGCTTCTGACTGCCTCCATTGTTACATGAATGAAAATTTGATATAGGTGACAGCTGCAAAGAACACCCTAGAAAGGACTGAATAGCTCTGATGGGATTAAAAGCTATGCTGTTCATTATGCATTGTGTATAAAATAGCTGACGTTAGAGACTGCTAGCAAAACCTTATTGTTATCAGATAAAGGAAAACAGAACAATATTTGAATCAGCATCAAATACTGAGAAATGGATATTGGGCTGAGCAGTGATTTAAAAGAAAACTGTTGAATCAGCAGAATATCAGAATGTTCTCCACCACGGCAGGATCTATTAGCATGTGTATCAGTATGAATATCTGCAATAGCAGAAATAAATGTTTGCATATCTTAGTAGAAAAATGATCCAAGCAACCATTTTCAGATAACATAAGTCTGTTATCACATGCTTGTGAAAACAACAAACTCTTGCGGCACCTTAAAGGCAAACACATTTATTATGGGGTACATTCAGTGGTGGAATTCAGCCAGTTCGCACCAGTTTGGCAGAACCGTTAGCTAATTTTTTGTTGCCCAGGCACCGAACGGCTTTGTGGAAGCGGCATCCACACAGAAAACCGGTTGTTCACATATTTGAATCTCAACATTGGGTTGATGATGATGATGATGATAATAATAATAATAATAATAATAATAATAATAATAATAATAATAATAATAATAATAATAAAGTTGGAAGGGATCTTGGAGGTCATCTAGTCCAACCCCCTGCTCAGGCAGGAAATCCTATACCATTTTGGACAAATGGCTGTCCAGTTTATATGTCAATTCAAATAATTCACTCTAGCCCAAAATAGCTTAAGCTGCATTTCTTATTCTTTAAGATGCTAGAATAATAAATGTAACTTTAACATAGGGAGAGGATGGGGAATATGTATGGTCAAGAATAATGGTATTCATAGCATCTGTAAAATTTAACTTTTATCTAAGATTTGGACTTCATATTATGCTTCTGCTGTTCCTTTAAAAAGACCACCACCTGAAAACCTCAGAATCTGTATTATTTGTCTTTATTAATCAGCATTCCTCAGCATGATGGCAATAAAATTGAAGGTGTACCTGCTGGGTCCTGAGTATACATTACATCACAGGTGCCTATTTTTATTATTTTGTTCACAAATTAATATCAGCATTTGAAACTTTTAAATATAAAAGTGCTGCTCCCTAGAAAAGTCTAATAGATATAATAATTAGTCAGAATCTATAGTAGCAGGCCTATAGAAATGAGTAAAATAAAAAAAAGAAGACACATGAAAAGGACAATACTTGCTTGATGACCTTCTCCCTAACGCCCTACTTGATTTATGCCAAACCAATAGTTATTTTTAATGGCCAATTTCTTTACAGCATGCCTTATAGACAGCAAATGTGTTATATGCAACTCTCAGTAATTCTTACTGTTACTTACATGTTCATTTTCAAAAGAAACAAAAGTTTCAAAAGAAACTTGAATTCTGCAAGAGAAGCATCTCTAGTTAAAGAAAAGGAGCACTCTGTTCTAGTGCTTGCTTGTTTTCCTTCTTTCTAATGTCGATGCAAATATGTGCATGACTTTTAGGTGTCGATCCACCTTAAAACAGCATGATTGAGAATTCAGGACACAGAAGCTGAATGGTTGTTCTTTAATGTTTTGCACTTTGGCTCATTTAATTGAAAATTTCTTTTTTTTCAGCTAAGTAAACATCTAAGGAGTCTTTCTTGTATTAGAACCTGAACTTGTAAGAATTTGTATATTACTTATTGTAACAGCTGATAGATGAAAAGGATTTTTTGTTTTTACTGTACCCAGTTTCTGTGGAAAAGAGAAACTGAGAATGTATACTGTAGTTTAGTTTTATTTTTCATCAGCGTATCAATGTTTTTCAAACAGTTCAGGATATATATATTACTTATCGCATTGATTTTGGAAATGATCTTTTACTTGTTCCTATGAAACGAGGCTTTATTTTTCACAGTTTGTAAATCAGATTTTTTTCATAATTCTAGCTTATTGCAATCAAGTATCAAGCTAGTTTCCATTACCAATTGTGCCTGCTTACTTTCCTCTGCCAGAATAGAAGGAGCTGGAAGGGACCTTGGAGGTATTCTAGTCCAGCCCCCTACTCAAGCAGGAGAACCTATATCATCTCAGACAAGTGACTGTCTAGCCTATTTTTAAAAATCTCCAATGATTTCTGGGAGCAAGTTAATCCATTGGTTAATTGTCCTCACTGTCAGGAAGTTCCTCCTTAATTCCAGGTTGCTTTTCTCTTTGATCAGTTTCCAACCATTGTTTCTTGCCCTCTGGTGCTTTGGAGAATAACGTGACCCTCTCTTCTTTGTGGCAGCCCCTCAAATACTAGAATACTGTTATCATGTCTCCCCTATTTCTTCTTTCCTTTAGACTAACCAAACCCAAATCCTGCAGGCTTTTTTATATTTTAGTCTCCTGGCCTTTGATCATCTTAGTTTTTCCAAACTCTCAACATCTTTTTTGTGATATGGTGACCAAAATTGGTTTCAGGGTTCCAGGTGTGGTCTTACTAGAGTTTTATAAAGTGGTACTAATACCTCATGTGATCTTGATTCTATGGCTCTGTTTATAGAACCCAGGATTGTATTAGCTTTTTTGGCTGCTGCTGCACATTGCTGGCTCATGGTTAAGTGATTGTCCATTAGGACTCCAAGGTCCCTCTCACAGTTACTGCTTTTAAGCCAGGTCTTGCCCAATCTGTACTTGTACCTTTGATTTTTCCTGCCTAAATGTAAAACTTTGCTTTTCTCCACATTGAAAGTCATTTTGTTGGACAGGGCCCATTGTTCAACTTATATGAACTTCAAAAGCTTCCCGGTGTCTTGATTTACCATGACAAGGAATCCAGGTTACCTTTCTCATCTATATTCCTTTGAATATTTTTAGGAAA